TCGGGCTCGGCTGAATAAGGAGGGTACAGCGACAGATTGCCCAATACTGATTCACGGGAAAATACAGGGGGTAGCAGTGAAGTTTTTTATCGACGGAGGAGCAAGTCACAGTTTAGTTAATATCGCGACGACACGGAAACTGCAACTGACACTTAACCGCTGCTTACCGAAGATCGATGCACGCTTAGTTGACGGCACGCCACTGGCTATACGGGAGAAAGTGGAGAGAGTGAAGGTTCGTTGCGGGGGGAATTTCGGGTTTACGCAGGAAATGCTCGCGACGACACTAGATGGGCACGACATATTACTGGGACGTGATTGGCTGCGACGATACAAACCGATAATTGACAGGACAACAGGTAGCTGCACTGTGAGAAGCGGTGGTAACTGGGTCGAACTACCTCGCTGGCGGTCGCCTGAGTCTTCAACGTTCCACGTCAACGCCATCACGATGAAACGGGTTGTCGCCGCTGGAGCTGACGTGTATGCAGTGGACATCACGGTGGTGGGAGAAGCGGAGCAGCCGAGTGATTTTCAGAAACTGCTGGCAGCCGTACCGCACGAACTACAGGAACTACTGAAACGGTACCCGGGGATTTTTCCTGACGACTTACCGGAGGGACTGCCACCTCAGCGAGCACACGACCACCGCATAGAGTTCCGTACAGCGACCGTTCAGACTGACACAACCCGAACTTGACGAACTGAGGAAGCAGCTAGATTACCTACTGGAGCAAAAGTTCATCCGACCAAGTTCGTCCCCGTTCGCCGCACCGATGCTACTCACACCGAAAAAAGACAGAGGGTTTCGCATGTGTATCGACTACCGCGCACTGAACAGGGTCACAGTCAAGTCGCGATACCCCATCCCCCGCGCCGACGAACTGATAGATCAACTGCGAACAGCACGGGTTTTCTCGAAAATCGACCTACGGGGAGGTTACCACCAGATTAGAGTCGAACCATTGGACTGCGCCAAGACAGCTTTTAGGACTAGATACGGGTCATTCGAGTGCACTGTGATGGCATTTGGGCTGACCAACGCACCGGCGACATTTTAGATGACCATGAACGAGGCGTTTAGGCCACTCTTAGACGCGTGCGTGATAGTTTACCTCGACGACATCCTGGTCTACAATTGCGATAAGCAGCAGCACTTGGCAGATCTGGAAGCAGTGTTTAAAGTTTTAGACGAGCACCGACTACTGACCAAGGGTTCCAAGTGCGTTTTTTTTCAGGACAGGTTAGAATTCAGGGGCACGTTAGGCTGGAGTTGAGATCGACCCAAAGAAGATGGACACAGTAAAAGCGTGGCACCCCCGACAAATATCACGGAGCTGCAGAGTTTTTTTAGGTTTCGTTAAATATGTGCGTCTGTTCGTCCCCGACATTGCACGGTTAACTGCCCCACTGACGGATCTGCTGCGGAAGGGGGTCGCTTTTACGTGGGGGGAGAAAGAGCATGCTGCCTTCCCTCCCCTGAAAACTGTTCTCTGTTCACCACCCGTACTGGGCATCGCCGACCCACACCGCCCATTCGAAGTAGTTACAGACGCAATCGACATCGCCATCGGAGCCGTACTACTACAGGATTTCGGCAACGGCTTACAGCCCATCGCATACGAGTCACGAAAACTGCATCCGCCCGAGAAGAATTACCCGATACACGACCGCGAAATGCTCGTGATCGTGCACGCGTTCAAGGTCTGGTGCTGTTACTTGACTGGCGCAGACGTGACAGTGCGGACATACCACAAATCACTACAGTACCTCCGCGCACAGCCCCACCTCAACCCACGACAAGTCCGTTGGCTCGACTTTATCGAGTCCAACTTCCACTACACGATCACCTACAAAAAGGGAGCATCGAACATCGCCGACGCACTGACCCGCCCCACTGCCCAAATACACGCCATACTACTCGCCCAGACCAGCCCACTGCTTACAGGCCTATTTACCCACGGCTACCAGACGTATCCATTCTTCACCGGAGGTAATTCGCAGCAGTTCGCAGCAGCAAAATGGGTTTATTACGTAAAAGCCGGCACAGACCGCATGTGGGTACCAAGCCACACTTTAATACGGGAATTTCTGCTACAGGAGGCACATGACGGAATTACCTCACGACATTTCGGAGTAGAGAAATCACGGCAGCAACTGCAACGATATTACTACTGGCCCGAGATGCTGATCGACGTGCAGCGACACGTGGCATCGTGTCCCACCTGCCAGCTCATGAAGTCGGCACGACAGCGAACAGCAGGACAGTTACTGCCGATACCACCCCCAGAGCGTGCTTGGCAGCAGGTGACGATGGACTTCGTCACGGGGTTACCGGCCGGAGCAAGTGGGAACGACGCGATCATGGTCGTCGTCGATCGGCTGACGAAGATGGCACATTTCGCAGCCTGCAAAAAATCAATCACAGCCGAAGAAACAGCCCAACTGTTCATCACCACCGTCGTTCGACTACACGGGATACCAGCGGCAATCATTAGCGATCGTGATGCGAAATTCACCAACAACTTTTGGACGAACCTGTGGCAGCAGTTCGGCACGCGACTACAGTTCAGCTCATCGTACCACCCCGAAACCGACGGACCGACAGAACGGACAAACTAAACCATGGAGCAGTTAATTTGGGCCATGTGCGACGACCCGGTAACACGGGAACAACAGCTGCCACTCATAGAATTCACTTACAACAACTCCACGTCAGCCACGACACAACAATCGCCATTCTACCTCAACTACGGACAGAACCCAACAGTGCCCATGACCCCGAATCCCGACAACTTAGTACCATGCGCGCAACAGTTCGCATAATTATTACAGGCAGCACGGACCCGGGCAGCAGACGCCATAAAAAAATCGAGCATCATTGCTAAGCGTAACGCCGATCGCCACCGTCGCCCAGTCACCTACCAGCCCGACGACCTCGTACTCCTCGACACCCAAAACCTCCGCCTGCCCATAACCCCGTAACTCCGCCCCCGATATTGTGGGCCATTGCGCATCAGCCACATGATCACACCCGTCAGCGCCCACCTCCTCCTTTCTGCTGACTGGTACGCCAGCCCGTCATTCCACGTCAGCTTACTCCGCCCATACGTCCCCTCCACCAGCCAATTGCCTCGCAACCGCCCCGCTAGCATGACACGACCACCAACAGAGCCAGTCATCACACCCCAAAAAACATAAGCCACCGAGTTCGTGACCCACGTGGAGCTCGCAGGGTCAAGTTCCTGATTCGTTGGAAGGGCCGCACGCCCACCGAGGACAACTGGGTGCCCTAGGACAGAATTGAAAGTCACCCCGTCCTCACCGAGTATCTCCGCAGCCGCAATTTTCGAGATGTACACGCACTCTCGTAAGGAGGGCCTCCTTGGGGAGGGGGTTAGTGTAAGGAAAATTCCTTTTCCTTACTTCGCGCCCCTGCATAACGCGTACACGGCGGTTCCCGCCAACGGCACCGAAAAGTGAAACGTTACCCGCTCGTGACACTCGCATCGACCATTGCTCCCGCCACTGTACACCTCGCGACCCAATCTCACGGTTCGGTTGGTAACACGCGCTCCGGTCCTCCGCCTTCCCAACCTCGGCGCTAGGCACGTAGCGCACCTCATTTTCTCGCGTTACCGTTACCACGCCAGGTTCGCTATATATTCTTTGCTCATGCCTTCGCTCAATGTATTGTTTTGCTTCGATAGTGCAATTCTCGCTCGCTCGCTCGATTGCACTCATAATGGATGTAAGTTTTGTCATGCAACTTGCGGCCCGTGACCGTTTTCAACCCTGCTGTAACGTACTGCACCATGCTAAACAAATGAGGTACTTTAGGGCGTGTCCCACGAGTTCGTTTACAGTTCATGTTCATGTTTGTTACCCTATTTTGTGATTGTAACCCTCTACTGTATACATGTGCCTTAAATGACGCATGACAATTGACGCATTTCCCACGTCGACGTGTTCGTTTTGAACGCGTTTAGAAAGAGAACCTACGTACGTGCGATCACCTCGAACGGGTCCGCGTGAGGGGTTACCGTAAACTCCGAATTCGCCCAACCCATGGTCTCGCGGAAAAAAACGAACGTCGCCAGGGGTACCGAGTCGCGCCCCAGTACCGAGGGGCATTCGATTCGCAACTGGGGCGGGTTACCGCTCGCGGATTCTGTCAATTGTGAATCGCATGACGTTTTTTTTTTGGGCGGGACTATGCGTCCGCCTGGTGCAATTCCGTTTTGCTCGATGCTGACACATTCCGTTTTTTTTCCGTCAGAGTGTACACTCTTTTGCTGACTCGCAGTTTACGTAAAAAATCAGGATTTTCCCCAAAACGAACTCATGGGACACGCCCTTAAAACGCGACCCACCCTTAGCCTTGATTCCGCGATTTTCTAACTTGTAACACGCCCTAACTGGAGCAATGCATCGTTTCGAACTTTCGGTTCTCGCAAGGCTGGTTTTCAATCCCCCTTCTCTGGCGCGTTCGTCAGAAACCGTTCCAATACCGCAGTCGAGCTTGGGAATCGGTCACATCGATCGTGTCGCACAGAGATGCTTGTCCAAACTGCTCAAGCAACCGCCTTCTCGCCCGATCCGCTGGCACAGTACCATACACGAACCTGGGGTTAGCTGTGAACTAAACTGAGCCGAACGGGAGCCTACCACCTCGTGGTAACCGAGGCAGCTCATGTTGGGGGAGGAAGGGTCACCACTGTTTTGTTTGTGTGCTGCTGTTGGACAGCCTTTTTGCATTGCTCCTTTCCCACTAATCTATGCGCCAAGGTCACAGGTCCTGTCACACAGATGAGGAACGCCTGCTTTATTCTTCTTCGTGTACCTTGACCCTTAGTACGTCGACGATCTTAATCGAAGTACCTGCTTTGCTGGTCGTCGACGTACTCTCGTGCCGTTAGATTTCCGAAAGCATCAACGCCACGTGCGTTCAGATTTGTGTCTGGGCCATTCGAGCAAGTTTTTTCAGCGCATGACCAACCATGGGACCCGATCGTTGTTTCGCGATATCAGCTAGTCGAGCTGTCGTCACCACCAACTCGTCCGCGACAACCATTTCAGCCTCTCTCTCCCTTCTCTCCTCGTCCTCCTCAACCCGACAACCCTGTTCTGCTGCCGCACCCACTGCGTCGCTCTCCCAACCGACAACTGCCACGTGTTGCAGCGTGCAGCCGGCAGTGAGAGCCGGCTCCCTCTCAGTAGCATCGGGTCTGCACCAGGACGCGCTGCTGCTGTCTCCGCACCCTTCCGCCAACGCGACTTCATGGGGATCCGCCGTCTTCTCCTTGCCACCGTCAAGGCTTTCCTGCAGATACGCCAGCCGTGCGACGTTCCGGGGGCAATCGTGTGCAGGTTTTGATTGTTTCAGCGCGTCAGCAGCGTCGTTTCCGAACCGGACTGCTGCTTTGTGGAGCGGATGCCGAACGAAAAGACCAGGTTCGCGTAACTCGCGATCTTCAGGGTTTAACGTCTCGTGCCGCACAGCCTTTTTGAATGGCGTTCGGCCTCCTCTGGGATGCTGCCATGTGGATGGATCGCCCGCTGTTGCCAGAAAAAAACAGATTCGTTTTAGGGTAGCTGCGACCGCGTCCAACGGTGTTGCCGCGCACCTTCCCCCCTCCTCCCCTCCGTCCCGCGCTTCCGCTAGTCCCACTTCAGGGGGCGGTGCGCACGCGGAAGGGGGAGCGCGGAAGGGTATAGATGACGGGGGCGCGGGCCTGGGCGGCAGGCGGGAAGAGGGCTTGAGAGGCGGGGATGTAGACGGAGCAGGCGGGGAGGGAGGGGACGGGGGGTTCACGGGAGTGCTGCGGGAGGTGCAAGAGGGCGATCTGGACGTCGTTCTTAGTACTCTAGAGGACCGCTTCGGGGCCGAGATGCGCGGCCTGGGTAGCGCCAGGAGCGATAGCGGCAGCGGCGGCAGCAGCAGTGGCAGCAGCGCGGCGGAGGCGGCGGCGGCCGCTGTGAAGGCCAACGCGCACGCGCTGCTATCCGTTGGCGCGAAGCGCGGGCAAATAGTCCGCCTGTTCCGCGCGCAGCCGGAGCTGATCTACCGGGACGTAGGCGCGGCGGCGGCGGACATGGCGGTGCTGCTGTCGTCGTTTAGAATCACGCCCCCCGCTATGCTCAAGGGCATCGCGCAATCCGTGGACTGGCTGGGCACGCCCGCGAGCCACGCGCAGTGCGTGCTGCAGTTTCTGGATCGCGATCTGGGAGTCAACAACCTCGCGCGAGTCATCTCCGTGTCGCCGCACGTCCTCACGCAGTCCGTCGAAACCCTAAAGGACACCGCCGCCTTCCTCCGCACGGAGCTCCGCCTCGGTGCGGATGTGGGCATGGCGCTCGAGCGCAACCCCGCGCTGCTGGGGGGAGTCGGCGGAAGAGTGGTGGCGGACCGGGAATTAAGCGGGGCGGAGGCTGTTGCTGCGGGGGCGGGTTTGGGGTTTGGGCGGTCGGACGTTTCCGCGAAGCTGGAGGCGCTGCGGCGGTTGCTGAAGCTGCGGAGAGCGATTGATGTGCTTCCGCTCGTCGAGCACTTCCCGCCGCTGCTCCTCGCGCCCGCGGGCACCGCGGAATCCACCTACGCGCAGCTGGAGGCGCTCCTAGGCCCCACCAGCGCCGCGCTTGTTGCTAGCGCGCGCCCGCAGGTTCTTGCGCTGCCCGCGCAGGCGATTCGGGAGCCAATTGTGCAGCTGATTAGGCGGTTCGAGGGGAAAGAGGCGGCGGCTACAGTAATTGCGGCGGCGAACCCGTCGCTGCTGCGGCGGAAGTGGGACAAGACGGCGGGGAAGATAGAGTATATCACGGGGGTGATGGGGAGGGATCTGGGGGAGATCGCGGAATGGCCCGCGGTGCTGTCGTGCAATCTGACGGGGCGTATCAAGAGGCGGTACGAGGCGCTGAGCGGCGTGGGCGGGGGGCGGGGGGAGACGCTGCGCGCCATGCTGGGGTGCAGCGACCGCGTCTTCGAGCGCCGCTTCCGCGTGGCGCTGCCTGCGTCCGTCAAGGGGAAGAGGTGAGAGCGAGGATCGGGGAGGGAGATGGGAATTGGTGGTGGGGCGTGCTGAATGAGTGAGGGAGCGGTGGGTGGGGTGAAACGAGTTCGGCAAAGAGTGGTGGAGAGTGGCAGCGCGGATTGGTAGGAGGTGCGTCGCTGTTTGTGCGCTTGCATTAAATAGACACGCACAGCTGTTGGTGGTTGAGGGGTTCAGGGCGGCAACAAGCAGTGTAGCCAAAAGAAGCAGCACTAGAATGGAAGCAGGGGCAATAGGGCGGAGGAAGAGGCTAAGAGGCTGTGGATGGTGGAAAGAAATGGCTGCAGCGGAGTGATCATGCAAGGGGGTGAGGTAATGGCATGGTCAACAGGCAGGCATGCACAGACTTGGTTTCAGCCTTGGTTTTTGTAGTCAAGGGCGGGAGAAGGTATATGTGCCGCGAGCATAGCATGATGCATGAGTGCGTGCAAGCACCTCGTATTCGCACTGGATGTGGTTTGCCTGCTGTTGCAACCTGTAGATGTTCCACCTTTTCTGCGGTTGCCGCAATGCTTCTCGCGAGCTGGTAGCCAATGCCATAATCCTTAACGGTTTCAGCACACAACGTTGGATTAGCTTCTGCAAATGTTACCTTTGTGCTGGGCTGCTTGATGAATGCTAGCTTGCAGTGGAACAGGCAGCTTGTTGAGTCGATCTATTATGGCAGCATTACGACCTTTGGCATGGCCGTCATAGTCATCTGTCTGCATGTTCTTGTGAACCCGTGGGCATGTTTGGGCATCCTCTTCCACGCATACAATTCCCACCCTCATACTCTTCCATCTCGTGCCACTCTTCTTTAGCCAACTGCAGAAGTCTGCATGCATTCATGCTGCATCCACTCCCCACTCCTCTCCCCGCTTTCCCATCCTCCTCTCCTCACTTATCACCGTATGAGGCATGCTTGCTGCTGCTCGGGCTACCTCTCACCCCTTGCATTCCCCTGTGCCCTTCCCCTCCTTATTTGTCTCCTTCGCTTGGCGGTGAACCCGCTGCTGGTTGCAGGGGAAGGAGGCCCAAAGCAGCCGCACCGTCATCATGACACGCATGGGCCTCGCGTGCATGTGGTAGGAGTGCACGCCATTTTGAGTGAAGCACTGCCACACATCCTTCTCTCGCTTCCCTCCATCATCAACCCCATCCTGTCTCGCTCCCTCTGTCTCACGCTCTCCCCCCCCTTCCCTGTCTGCCTTTTCATTGCCACTTGCAATGTTATCCCTTGAAACAAAGCTCTTCGTGAGCCTAGCTACCCCCATTTCACTTTGCCACTAGTTGTCCAGGAAGCCCACATGACTATTCACAAGCGGTACCTTCGTTCCTAGAGAGTTGTCCTGTCCTCCATTGCCAACCGTCATTACCTGCCCAAAGCTTTGCATGCGCACTGGCCTTTTGCTGAGGCCGCTGGTTCTGTCTCTGCATATCTCATAACCCTTGGTTTTCTTGGACTTTAGTTCCAAGACCAAGAGTCAAGTAGTTTGAAGATTGCAAGCCTTGTTAGGGGTACCATTTGTTAACACTCACACATGAAGGATTTGCCAAAACATACGGTAACAGTGGCATCATGTAGAGCTGAAGATATTAATGACATTGCAAACGTCTGGGCTTCTTGTGATCTCAGCCCAACAACCTCCAACAAAATAAATCATCTAATATGCATTCAAGCAAAATAGCGTGGTGTTTCTTATCCAGTTAAAATTGTCTGCAACTGGTGAAAGTTATATTAAAAGAAATCTGACGACCCCATTAGATGCACGGAGGGATACTGTAGATACGATTTTGTCAATAGTTTTTCTATAACCTCTCCACCCACCTACATATTTGGGGGATACAGAGACTGCTTTTGTCGATTTCCGAATCTGGTTGGCACACCTGAACCTTGCCAATATCGGATGGTGTGTCGTCCAGGCTTGTAGCGAGTAGAAGGGTGTACTGTACAGGAATCACAGGTTGCATGTTGAACAGGTCCTGCTTTCTCTCACGTGCAGTGGTTATTCCCCCCCCAGACCACTCTGCGTTGCCCCGCAGCAACGCCACGCCACGCAAGGCCCGATTCACCCACCTACCCCCAATCGAAGACTGCTCGCCTAATCTACTACACCCACTTTCTCACCTATCTCACCGGCGGAAGCACTGGCTACAGTGTTTGGACGTAGCGGGCTGGTGAGATAACTCGGTTGTGGGTAAAGTCGCACGAGGGTTTGAAACACGCCTTGGGCCGTAAAAAACCATTAACGTTGAATAACCATCCCAACTGCTTTGAAGCACCGTTCCAGAACGTAAAAAACCTTGACTAAACGCCCTGGGTCAAATTGTCACTATAACGCATGTGATAGGACCTTCTTGGGTCCGGTGCGGTCACACTAAGCGTCTTGGTCAGTATAACATATGCCAGTCTATCGAGAATGAGGGTGTACACTCATCCGCTGACACCTCCAGTGACCGTCACCTCCGCTTCCTCCACCTACCCAACCACTTCTCCCATATCTAGGGAGTTGCAGAATCTCTCTTCCACCTCATTTTGAAGCATCAATCTGACGACGCTTGTCCCCAAACTCGATTCGATTCGTTGTTTCCGCCATGGCGCTTTTCCAAAGCAGTCAAAGTTGTAGCCTCTGTATACTTTCTTGACCAACGACGGGGCGATTTGTCGTTCTTAGCACAACACATTATATATCAAGGCTACTTTCGAAGCCTTTCCGTGCTGGTTTGGTTTCACCGTGACGCCTCATGTGGGCACGATCTTTTCCGGCATAGCTTCTCCCGCCCACATTCTATCACCCCTTGCCCAATCGTAGCGGGCTGGCGCTTTTCGAATCGCGCTAGCCCAACTCGAGTCGATCCCAATGAAGCCCCGCAGAAGGGCCACTCAGCGCGCCCCGCGGAAGCAGCCACCCGGCGCGGACGGCGCGGGCCGCCGCTGCGGAGGATGCGTACTGTTCATCGTGATCGCGACCATCTGCGTGCTCGTCTGGGCGTCCACCAACCAATCTGGCAGCGCGGGCGCTGCGCTCATCGAGTCCATTAAACAGCGGCACGCGAGCTTACGAGGAGATGCGCAACCTGCTGGATCCGCGGAGGCGAAGGAGGCGGCAAACGAGGAGTCGGCATTCGCGTCAACGATCCCGACGTTCTCTCTTTCAGCAGGCAGCGGTTCCGACGACGGGGAGAGCGCGCCTAAAGTAACCGCTGGGGGGGCTGGGGGAGAGGACCCGGGGGAGGATCGCGAGGGGGAGGGGCAGTTCGGCGTGCCGCGTGATCTGGCGGACGTGAGCTCGATGAAAGAAGGGCGACTGGGCGCCGCGCGAGACGCGGACGAGGCGAGCGAGAGAGGATCGAGAATGGCGACAGCAGGGGCGCGCATGGGCGCGGGCAGGGGGAACGAGAGGCCCATCACCACGGCTACCGATCTCGAGCCGTCCGCCGCCAAGGCCCTCGAGGACGCTGCCGCTGCGGCCGCCGCGGCGGCTGCCGCCAGTGCGGGAGTAGGCGGAGGCGAGGCGGAGGAGGAAGAAGCGGGAGACGCCGTCACGGCGGTGGTGAAGGGAGCTGGCGCCACCGCAGGTGGCGCGGAAGCGGATGAGGAGAGCGCGGAGGAGGGCAAGCGCGGAGAGGCGGCTCCGCGGAAGCGGCAGAAGCCGCCGCGAGAGGGGCCGAACGCCAAATGGGGTCCCGTTAACGGGTCGTTCGATATAGATTTAAGAAAACCCAAGCACCGACCTCTCATGGTGACGTTATCTCGCAAGTCCATGAAGCACGTGTTCCTAGATGCGACACGGTTCGGGAAGGAGGGCGCGGATAAAATGGATCCGCCTCTCGAGGTGACGCGTGGCTCTCTGTGCCCGGAGTTCGAGCACTCGTACGAGAATTACCCCGGAATCGCGTCGTGCTGGCACGGGCCGCCGCTAGAGGACGTGGCGCAGGTGCCCTCGTCGCATCCCGTGAATTGCGGAAGTCTGAACCCGAGCTGCGTGCAGGACATGGACTTCCAGCCGCACGAAAAGTGGTCCGCGCAGGTGGGTGGCTGCTGCCCGCTTCCCACCACTGCCACTGGAATGCGTTTGTGGTAACACGCACGCAGCAGGCAACGCAACGCTGTCACCGCTGCACCCAGCGGTCACTGCCCTTCCCCTCTCCACTCGTCGTCATCCCCTCGCTCCTCCCCTTCCCCCCTCTCCCCCTCCCCCCTCTCCGCCTCTCCACCCGCAGGTGGTGGTGCTGCACAACGTGTACATCAACGTGGCGGGGCAGGTGTTCAACCGCACGCACCTCTTCGACGACAACAGCTGCGCCGCCGACCGCCCCTTCCACTACGCCGCGGGCGCCGCCACCACCGTGCACCGGTACCGGCACCTGGTGTCGCTGGTGGACTGGTTCGCGTGGAGCCCGCGGTCGTTCCTGCTGGACGTGCTGCCGCTCTTCGTCTCCCTCGACGCCGTGCTGCCCGCCATGCGCCGCGTGCCCGTGGCCTTCGGCCACCGCCAGCAGCACGCGCTGAGCCAGGCGCAGCAGATGAGCGCGTACGGCGCGACGGAGCTGCTGGGCGTGCGCGTGGACAAGCTGAACCCGCACGTGCTCAAAGACGGCGAGCTCTTCTTCGCCGACCGCCTCGTGCTCGTACGTCGAGAGGGGTGAAGGGCGCGGTGGGAGGGAGAGCGGGCAAGGAGCGGGGAAGGAAGGGGTTTTATGGGAGGGGTGCTATGGTGTGGTGGGAAGGGTGGGGGATTGGCATGGAGGGAGTGGGGGAGTGGGGATTGCTGAGGAGCGCGGTAAGTTGAAGGTGAAGGAGGCGTTGCCTGTGTGGACACACAGAACAAGAAGAGAAGGAATGTGTCATGCTAGATTTCTTCCACAACGAACCATCACTAGAATCACGCAGGAGAGAGAAAGGGAACCAATTAGATCAAGGAAAGGCTGATGGACGGTAAGGGGAGGGGAGGCGAGGAGGCATGCCTGTGCATCTGTTCCCTTGTTATGAACTGTTCTGAGGAGAAAACCCTAAACCCCGATTGAAGCCACTTGATACAACGCCATGTCCTGATGAGTCAATCACTGAGCCCTGGTTAAACCCTTTCAAACCCTGTTCATTTGCTCTGATTGATCCCTCGCCCTCTCCTCTCCCCTATCCCGTACTTCTCCCATACACATCTTCCCTCATCACACCGCTTCACTAGCAGCGCTGCTACCAGCCCTCTGTTTTCCCGCCCTGCCCCCTTTGCTGCGCCATCAAACTGCCGTGCTGCACGACTGCTGCCTTGCTCCCCCGCCCGCCCTTCCCATGTCTCCCTCCTAACCTTCTCCCTTCTCCATCCCCTCTCCTCCGTTCATCCTTATTGTCTCATTTCCTCCTCTCCTCCCATCTCCTCCCTCCTTCCCCCGCCCCATCCACTTCCTCTTCCCCCGCGCCCAGCCCTTGAGGCAGCGGTGTGGGCGGCCGAGCAAGGCGATGTGGGGGTACCTGCGCGCGCGCCACCTGCTGCCCAAGGCGGGGCTCCCCATGTACCGCCACGGTGAGCTCCCCGCCCCCTGCCCCCTGCCCATGCTTGTGCTGTAACGAAGAGAGGGGAGAGAGAGAAGGGGGGGGTGGGGTTGGGTTACGGGAACAGGGATGGGGAGTTGGGGAGAGAGGAAGGGGAGAGTGAGCGAAGGCATGGGAGGAAGGGCTGGGTGTGGGGAGAGAAAGGGTGGATGGTGAGAGGGAGCGGAAGAGCAGCGTGCTTGGGAGAGCAGTGCGTGCTATGCTATCTGCAGATGAGTAGCGGGTGGCAGGGGGACCAGGGACACGCATGCACACACGAGTCTGCAGGTCTGGTGCATTGCCCTCTAAATTTCACGGCACTGATGTTTGACAAGAGCTCACCTAAGTGCGGTTCTGTGAGGTGGTTTGCGTTGTAGTGCGGTTTGTGTTGTGTAACATCTGTGTGGGTTCCGTTCCGTGGGGTTAAATCGGACAGTTGTGATGCGCACACCCTAATAATCCAGCATCTTACCCAAACCCCGCCGCCACATTGCACCTCTGCCACTATTTTCATGCCCTTTTCCCCTTCCCACCCCCCCTCTCTTTCACCCCCGCACTCCCACCCCCTCTCTCTCCCTCCCACTCCCAACCCTCCACACCCCATGAAAGCCCATTATTTACAATGCGTTTGAAACTTGTCGTGGTCACCTCTCTCTATCACTCACCACCCACCCCTCTCCCCAAACCCCCACTCATTCATGTTCTCCCACATCTCTTTCCCCTCTTCCACCCGCTTCTCGTCCTGCCAATGAATGTATTCCCCATTCCCCTTTCGCCTCACTTCCCCCAACCCACCACACCTTCATGCGTCTCTCCCCCCCCTCACGTGCGCACGTGGGCAGACGCGGAGTTCAAAACAACGTACCGCAAGTGGAAGGCGGAGAAGGTGACGGGCGTGGGGGCGGACTGGGTGGTGGTGCTGGGTGTGCGCGACGAGCGCAAGCCGCTGGTGGAGACGCTGAAGCTGCAGCAGCAGATGCTCAAGTATGTGCCGGCGGACCGCATCGTGGTGTACAAGGAGGGGTCGCTGTCGTTCACGGCGCGCAAGGCGCTGCTCAGCCGCGCCAGAGTGCTGGTGGCCGTGCATGGGAACATCCTCGCTGACATGGTCTTCATGCCTCCCGGTAAGTGTGCCAAAGGGGGGGAGGGGGTGGCTGACAGTGGGAGTGAGTGAGGGGAGGGTTCAAGACTGAGTGAGTGGAAGGTGTGAGTGTGTGTGAATGGCTGGGGTGTGTGAGGGAGAGTGAATGAGTGGCAGGTGTTGGGGGTGAGTGGGAGAGGGGATGTGGCATGCATGGTGGTACAAACAGTGCACGGGGTGCCCGTCATTCCCTCTGGTGCATGTCACGCAGTTGGCCATGCTGGTATAACACCATCTCCACGTGCACTTGAACAACGACTTGCCCCGCCTCAACGCCCCTACCACCTACCCGCCTATCACCGCCTGCTGCTGCTCCCTCTGCGTGTGACCACGGCCATTGCTCTTGCCCACCCCTTCTCAACCGCCCTCTATCCCAACCTCCCCCCCTCCACCCACTGGGCGTGCAGGCGGGGCGGTGTTGGAGATCCGGCCGAGGAGGGATGGGGAGGCGATATTCCACCAACTGGCGGACGCATGTGGGCTGGCGTACTACCTCACGCTGGCGGACGGGCGTGCGGGCCCCATGGGGCGCACGGGTGCCGGCAAGCCCTCGGTGCGCGACCCCCGCCAGGTGCACCGCCTGCTCGCCATGGTGGCCAAGAAGGCGCTTGCTAACCTGCCCTCCAGCTGAGGAGCCGTGGGGGGGCAGGGAATGGAGAGTGTGAGTGGAAAAGGGCGGCCAAGTTGGCGCAGGAAAGGCGTGGTTGGTGTGGGTGGTGGTGGGGTATGGAAGTGAGAAGAGCAGGGTGGGTGGTGGTGGTGGTAGGTGAGATGAGATGAGAGGTTGAAGGTGATGTTGGCGCGCTGGATGCGGGCTGGCTGTGGAGGGGTAAGGAGGAATTGGTGGGGGGGAAGGGTGGGCAGGCAGCAGCTGGGAGCACAGTGCGTCACATGACATGCTGAGTGGGATGGATGGATGGATGGATGTTATCATCACTAACCTCGTCTTGCTGGCACTATTTTTCTCGGTGCTGCATTATTTTATATGTAGAGGCGATTTTGGTAGGCAGTGGTACGGTAGGTCCCTGTAGCGAAGAATGAACCTCCAACCCAGTTCTGATACCGTAGCTAGTGGTGTTGCAAGCATTGTAGGCTTGATTCGTCACTGACTTGGCAAACACGCAGCGGCTTGTATTGGCAAATCCAGCAAGAGAAACACCACACCACAAGTGCACACATGTACAGCTCCACTCCCACACACTAGCCCCACCGCTCCCCCCCAATAGCCTCATTTGCCCCAACAAGAGGGCAGTCCAACTGCCACCATCCATTCAATGTCCGTTGCACTCAGGCACCCAGCGCTCCTGCCGTGCACACACACGTTCCGCCCTGCGCAACCCTCGGCACAGCTCTCTCCCCCACGAGCAGCGGTCCCAACCTCCCCTTCCGTCCCCTCCCCCCCGACCCCTTGGGGCGAGCGTGGGGTGCGTCAGACAACGGTGTAGCCCCCGTCCACGACCACGTTGGCGCCCACCATGAAGCTCGCCTCCTCGCTCGCCACAAACGCCACCACATTCGCCACCTCCTCTGGCCTCCCAAACCTGGGACGCCCGCTCACAGGGGTGGGCGTGTGCCGCGGAAGCGAAGGAAACGGGGTTAAGGGAGGGAAAGGGAGAAGGGGGGAGAGAGGGGAAGAGAAGGGTGCTGGATTGGGCGAGGGAGGAAAACGAGCAGTCCGCTGCGCGATGGCTGGGAGGTGATGCGCGGCAGAGGGCGGGGTGCGTGCGTGCAGAGGGAGCGGGCAGTGTGGGGCATACGGCACCTGGCAAGCGGTTGCCTGGCGAGGAAGGAGTCCATGAGGCGCTGCGCCTCTGCTGGGTCCGGGCACTGCTGCGCCACGCTCTGACGCGTGAGGGCAGGCATGGGGGGACGTGGGGGGTGCGGGGGAGTGGGGGGAAGGAGAGGAGAGTGGGTGTGAGGAAACGGATGGCAGCAGTGGGCATGGCATGGCGTGTGTGCGCATGGCATCCACCACCGCCCCACCATCTGTCATCCTATGTGTACCGCCACACATCTTTCTTAAAATGTCAATCCCACCACGCAAGCCCACACCCGCGCACCTCTTGCAGCCCCGGCGTGAGCGTGGTCCCCGGGCACACCGCGTTCACGCGCACGCCCTCCGCCACCAGCCCCAGCGCCGCCGCGCGCGTCAGCGACGACACGCCGCCCTTGGCCGCGTGGTACGCCGCGTACCCCGCCGACCCCACCAGCGCGAACGACGACGACACGTTCACGATGGCCGCGGCGCCTCGCTCCGCGCGTCGCAGGTACGGCAGCGCGAGCTGCGTCGCGTGGAAGACGGACGAGAGCGACGCGGCGATGACGGCGTCCCAGTCGCGCGGCGCGGTGTCGGGCAGGCTCTTGCAGCTCTGCAGCGCCGCGTTGTTGACCAGCAGGTGCAGCGCGCCCGCGCCGGGGGACAGCGCCGCGACCGCCTCGGCGAGCGCGGATGCGATGGAGTCGCGATCGCACACGTCGCATCTGACCGGGGGGAAGGGGGGAGAGGGGGACGAAAGGGTGAGGAGGAGGAGATGCGGCAAGTGAGAGCGGGACGAGGAGGAGGAGGTGTAGAGGCGCGGGAAGAGGGAGTTGTGGCCGCGAGTTGCGGGCACATGCTTTCCACGCAATAGCACCGCCACAGGCACTTCTGCACTAGTTTCCGCTGATCCTTCCTTCCAAGCCCTGCCACCCATCCCCTTGCTCCTTTGCCTTTCGTTTCCGCGCACTCACCCCGCCATCCCCTTCTGCGCCCAGTCAACCCCCCTACTGCAGTACCTCACGAAGATCGCGCGCGGTATGCTCTCCGCTCCGCTGCCCTCTCCCGCACTCCGTGTCCCTTCCCCACATCCCCCTTCTCCCCTTCCGTGGAAGCCCCCCCCTCCGCCCCGCCACTCCGCCCGGCCTGTGCCGCCGTTTGCGAATCAGCGGCAACCAGCTCAGCAGCCAGCTGGCGCCCCTCCTCTTCCAACACGTCAGCAATGGCCACCCTTGCGCCCTCCGCTACGAACTTGCGCGCGCACGCCGCGCCGATGCCCCGCGCCGCCCCCGTGATGAACGCGACTTTTCCCTGCAGACGCATGGCTTCGCCGAGTCGCGTCGACAGTCCGACGGTGATGTTGGTGCCCAACGCGAGCTACACACTAGAGACGAGATCCTAGGTAACAGAAACACGCCAACGTCAGAGCGCGCCGAGCGCGACGGTGAGATGCGAACGCGGGGAGCGAAGAAAGGAAGGGCGCAGTCTAAAAGAGGTCGAAGGAGCGCATGAGCCACAGCGCGCCGACGGTCATGGCGGCGCCCACGGCGAGCGCCTGCAGCTCGCCCGCCTGCGTGAGCGGAGGGCGCGGGGCGCTGTCGGCGCGGCGCGACGCGGAGTCGTCGTCGGGGAACGGCACAGCCTCGTCGTCGAGCGGTCGGCGCTGACGGCGCGGCTCACGACCTGACATGGCTGGGCGGATGGCGGAGGGAGTGGCGCGGACGGTCAAGCGAGACGAGGGTGCGAGGGAAGTGATGAACCGAGGAATCACCCCATCGAGCTTGCGGTTGGGGTTGAAAGCTCCCCGTTATTGAGAACCAAGAGAGGTAAAGAGCTGCGGAGATGTACCATATTACAGATGTATATTCTCAGATCTTACATATCGGCTTAGGACAAAAATGGTACGCATCTCTATCGCTTGGCAGAGGGCCAACACACAAATATAGCCAATGTGATGGAAACCCTTGGAACGGAACACAATGAGTCTGACTACACTCCCCCGGACTTGATAAAGCCGTCAGCAGCTGCTGCTATTGATGGAACGGTGACTCGCACACCCTTGCCCATCTGCATGCAGCCCAGTGCCCGACAGGACAGGACAGGACAACCCATGAGACGCACATTTTACCAACAAGGCATTTCATTTGCCGGCATCAGATAAAAACGTCAAGGGAGAGAGGAAAGGGGGTGGTGAACGATAGACGTGACATGGACAGTGGAGTGGGAGCTTTGTGAGGTGGAGGGCGGGCACTGGTGGCGGTGAGTGCAGCAGGTGTGACTCACAGTGGAGGAGAGCGTGAAGGTGGTGAAGTAGCCAAAGAAGCGCGAGCCTGCACTCATGCTCACACAGACGAACAGCCACACACGCACAGAGGATGGAATGCGTGGGGGCAAGGATGGCAGGAGATGAGTGGGGTGATGATTCAGGGTGCGGTGAGAGTAGAGGACCAGGTGGTGAGTGCAGTGTAGTTTGTCCTGGCATTAGCGCATGCGAAAATAGTGCTGCCATGCCCTGCCATGCCCTGCGAACCGCTAACTCCTGCCATGCCCGGCCATGCGGCAGCACTCACTCTTCTTGAGCCCCACGGGCTTGGCTGCCAGCAGAGCCGCTGCAAACGCCGCTGCATTCTCCGCCAGGGCCTCGTCCGGGAAGCTCACCTGGTCACAGGAGGGCGGAGAGAGGGGGAGGGCAGGGGGGTGAAGAGAGTATGGGATGAGACGGCGAGGAGAGTGGTCCAGGACTTGTTACAGAGCACATGGACGGTGCATGGTGACACGAGGCCCGTGCACAAGAACAAGGAGCATAGAAGCTATGGGCAGCAGTGGAGGAGGGGTGCAGCACGCACCTTGCCGATGCCCACGTGCACATTGGCCGTCTTGTCTGTCTTGAAGTCCGCCTTGCCACGCTTGGCCGCCCTCACTGCCTCCCCCACATGCACCGTCACCGTGCCCATCTGCCATGCCCACCACCATGCATGCACCATCAGCCATGCCATGTCACACACCATGCACCATGCAACATGCACGCTCCAACCATGAACAGAACATGCCATCCACATGCACACCATGCACAGAGACACAGACTCCCATGGATGAGGCCCTGAGAAGGGAATAGACGGTCTCCAGCTGCTACCATGTGATCACCATGAGCTGCTTACTGAGCGCTAATGCACACTGGCTGTCAGTTGTCAGTACCGGTTGCTGTAGGAAAGTGAGCAAGTGGTGGTTTACATGAGGGTTGGGCGTGGCGGCAGCATACCTTGGGGTTGGGCATGAGGCCACGTGGACCTAGGATGCGCGCGATCTGATGTTGCACGACACGGTGGGGAGGACGGAGGGGGGGCAGGGAGGAGGCATCGAGTTATAGGCACTGCATGAGAGCACGAGTGCAATAATACAGGAGGGCATGTAGCACAAGAGTGCTTGTAGGGAGTTGAGAGGATGTCATGAGTGCGAGAGTGAGAGGGTGGGGAGGAGGGAGGGCGCACCTGACCGAGCTTGGGCATGAGCGCAGGCGTGGCTATGCACTTGTCGAAACTCAACTTGCCACCACCTGCCAACTCAGCGGCAGGAAGCATGCCATCATGCGATCATGCCAGCATGCGATGAGGAAGGAAACACTGGGATGAGCATGGGAACGGCAGGGCAGGAGTGTGAGGCACGGCAGCTGTGCTGCTGTGCAAGGAACTCAACGTGAGCGACAGCACATGCATGGCTGGGGGGGGTATGGCACGCAGAAGGAGTGTGAACGGTGCATGGCAGTGCTTGGGGTATGTGAGTTCCCCTCCCTCTCCCCCCCCCGCAGCACGTACTGGCCTTGACCTCCGCTATGAGGTCCGCCCCCCCCACCACGTCCGCCCCTGCTGCTGCTGCCGCCTCCGCCTCCTCCCCCTCCGCAAACACCGCCACCCGCACCGCCTGGTAGAGGTGCACGCAGCGGGGAAGGGCACGGGGAATGGGAGGGGGACGGGAAAGGGGAATGAAAGAGAGGCATGGGAGAGAGAGAGAGGAATGGACGGGGAATAGGAGAGAGTAGATGGGAGAGGGCAGGGTGGGCAGTACACGAAGGCATATAGGGAGAGTGTGGAGTGGCTTGCGAGACGAGAGGGCACCGGTGCACGCAGGTGAGAAGGAGACAAGGCAGAGAAGGCGGGGAGGAGCGAAGAGGGGAGGAATCGAGAAGACGAGATGGGGTGCGGGAGTGGGAGACGTGGGAGGAGGAGAGGGAGCGCACTGACCTTGCCCGTGCCTCTGGGGAGCTGCGCTGATCCGCGCACCATCTGATGGCCACGGGAGGCGCGCGGGGACAGGGGAGAGGGAGAGGGGCGAGGGGGGAGGGGAGAGGGGCGAGGGGGGAGGGGAGAGGGGATGGAAGGGCATAGCCAGGGGAGGATATGGTACGTTATGCGGTGTGGGACAGTAGGGGGCACGCGGTGTGGAGGGCGGCAATAGTGGAGAGGGTCAGGGGGCGAGGGGAGCAACGAGGAACGCTGAGAGGACGGAGGCGAGGCAGCAAAGCCAGGAGAAGCGACGCTGGGAGATGCAGTGCGTTGCTGAGCGAGCGGCAGCGGGGCTTGCAGGGGGGGAGGGGGGGGAAGCGGCGCACCTGGTCGCTGCGCTTGGGGTCGATGCCCAGGCGCACATGCACCTCCACCGTCTCGTCAAACTTCGCCCTCGCCCCCTCCTGCCGCGCGCACCCCGCCACGCCACACGCGCGCGACCAGCGCCACCCGCAGGGCGCGTGGGGAGGGGGGAAAAGGGGGGAAGGGTAGGGCGAAATTGGGGAGGGATGGTAGTGAGGAAGGAGAGGCGGGAAGCGGGGGCGGAGAGCGAAGGTGAGCGGTTGCGGATGCGGCGGTGCGGCAGTGGAGACAAGAGCCGCGTGACGCGCACGACTGGACAAGGGGCGAGCGGGGTGCGCGGGAGGTGGCAGGGCAAGGGACGAGGCGGCGGGATGCGGCAGGGCGCCCCACCTTGACTCTCTTGATGGCGTCCGCCAGACTCAGCACCTCCACGCCCCCCGCGCTGCCCTTCTTCCCCTTCCGCTTCTCCCCCTCCAGCCCCTCGCTCACGAAGCACGGCAGCGGAATGCCCCCCTCCGCCCCCTCCGCCCCCTCCGCCTCCGCCTTCTCCGCCTTCTCCCCGCCCTCCGCGCTCAGCGCTGCCACCTGCGCGGCTGTCAGGTCCTCCGGTAAAGGCGCAACCCGCGGGATCGAGCCTGTCAAATCCCCCTCTCCCTCCCCCTCCCCCACCGCCTCCCCCTCCGCGTCCGGCTCACCAGAATACCCCGCTTGCGCCACTCCGGGAAAGTCGCTGTCCCCTGGTGCTTCCCCGCGCGCGGTTGGCGCGGCGGAAGACGTCAACGCGCGGAACGGAAGGGGGAGGAGAGGGGACACTTGGAGGGGGAGGGAATGCGAAGAGAAGCGGGAAAACGTAGGGGCAGGGCTCGACGAAACTGCACAAGGGTGGTTCAACGCATGGCTGAGACCACCCTCCACGTGGCATTTGGTAATTCGCTCGTTACAAGAACCGTTTAGGCGATCAACCACACCACTCATCCCCAAAGCGCTTCGACTCGGATCGCCATGGAGGCCAGACGTGGGCTGACCGCATACTGATTCTACTCGGATAGGATTTGATACGGATCGGGTGGCGGCCCTAGACGCGGCACGGAGAAGATAAGCCTGTCGCGACATGAACGGGCGCGGAGCGGCTATCAGGCGTTCTATTGAGGGAGCTGGATCCGCAGCGGTTAGCGGTACGAGCGTGGAAGCGACGTGGCGGGAAGAGGAGCGGAGGCTCGCAACGCAGGAATCGGTGGGGGCAACGTCGCATGCGACAGCCGCGATGGGAACGCGAGGAAACTAGCGGGTGGAACGGCGGGAAGGACGGAGACAAGGATGGCGTGTTTTGTTAGCGGTGTGGGTGGCGGCGGGAATGGAGGGGATCGTGAGGCGGCGCCGGGTCGGGGATGGTTGTGGTGGGACAGTCGGGAAGAAGCTAAGGTTTGTACTCGCTAAGAAGGATCTGCTATGTAGAGTTGTGATGCCAGTGTACACTTAGGAGCTTGCATGAAAACGTGAAGCCCATAAAAACACAAGGTCTCAGCTACTACTGCCTGTACATACAACTGCTTGCCATCACTCAAACATTTATTGGAAAACGCTGAACCAAAGAGCATTACAGTCCAGCTTATTAGACATCAAAGATCCCGCTTGCACTTTCTCAGCGCACGTGAAAAGGAGCACTTCCGCCATCAGCTCAGTTGGCAGTCACCGTTGTGGTGCGTGCAGTCAGAGCTTGGAGGGCGCAGGGTACCAGTTCCAGGGGTCGCTGGATACGTACTGAGTCACCTGCTTCACTGACAGGTAGTTCTCCAGTCCCCTGCACGTACACACACAGCATGGGGACGTGTAACATGGGGGATGGTGGGGGTAGGATGGTGGAGAGAATCAGGAGGCATGCAGCGTGATGGCGTTCCATTCCTGGAATGGTGCATGCACGCATTGCTGGCAGTGCATGCATCGGTTACCATACAAAGCCAGCCATGCACACCACATGTCCACTCCGCACCTGCTAGAAGTGCACGCCCCGTGGCCACTCACCACTTGCCCAGCTCCCTGCCGAAGCCGCTCCTCTTCTTGCCTCCCCACGGCGCCTGGCAGAAGCACGGCTGCGAGCAGTTCACCCACACTATGCCACACTCCATGGCCTGCACGCACCGCACATAGGCCACGGCACACACGGCACGGGGCACAGAGGTTACAGGACACAGAGTATGATGCACAGGGCATGGAGACGATGCCACGTGGTGTAGAGGAGCAAGGGGGTGCACAATGGGACACGAGCTAGGATGGGGGGAGTGCGTGGCATGCGCAGGGGAAGGTGTGCGGCCGTGGACTCACCTCTGACACGCGGCGGCACCTGTCCTGGTCGCCTGATATCACTGCTGCCGCCAGCCCATAGCTGATGTGCGCCCACCCACACATGCATACATGGAAGAGCAAAGAATGGGGCCGGGCCCATGGGAGGGGCGGCGGGTGGGGGCGGGACAAGGAAGAAACAGATGGGGTGAGCTGGGGCCGAAACATACAGGAAAAGTGTAGAGAGGAAAAAGGAATGAGGGAAAGGTAAATCCAAAAGGCGAGAAGGCAGCGCAGCAGCAGCAGCAGCAGCAGCAGCAGCGCACCTGGAGTCATTGGCGAGGGCGATGGCGTGCTGCTCATCGGAGAAGGTGTGCACGGCCAGCACGGGGCCAAACACCTCCTCCTGCCACACGCGCATGCCCGGTGTCACTCGCAGCACCGTGGGCTCCAGGTAGTACCCGCGCGCCAGGTGCTGGGAGGGAGGGCCAAGGGGTGGGGCGCGAATGGAACAAGGGGAGGCGGGAGGTGTGTTAGGAACAGGGTGTGGGGAGGTGGGTGACGCATGCGGCAGGGCCAAGGGGCGGAATGGACCATTTGCCTCCTGCTCTTCCCTGCACCACAAGGCTCCGCCCACCCATTTCATCCGCCCTGCCCTCCCCATCCATCCGCGCTGCCCCCGCCCCCTCCCCCTCTCTCACCTGCGGTCGCTTCCCCCCGCACAGCACCTCAGCGCCCTCCGCCTTGGCGCCCTCTATGAACGCCGCCACCTTGTGGTACTGCGCGTGCAGGGGGGGATATGTGGGAGAGGGCGAAACGAAAAATCAAGGTTCAGAAAAGATTCGCCATTCATGGGAGGAATATGGGAGACGAAGTGGTAGAGGCACAGGGTGCACCCACACCCAGCCATTCTCCCACACCCCCTTTCGTTGTTTTCTCCTACTACCCCCCACCCATTCCCCTTCCCTCTTTCCCTCGCTTGCATGCACCCCTGCTCCATTCCCTCTCTCGCTCGCCTGTTGGCTGGACCCCGTCGCCCCTGCCACACACCTGAGCCTCGCTAACCAGGGGCCCGAGGCGGCAGCCGGGTTCAAGAGGGTCGGAGATTCGAATGGCTTGCGCCCACTGCACCAGGCGCGCTAGGAACGCTGGCGCTATGCGCTCCTGGGGTGACAACAGAGGCGTGGGGGGGGTGGGGGGCAGGTGGGGAAGAAGGGATGGGGGTGTGAGGTTGAGGTGAGGCAGAGCCAGGACAAGGAGAAGATAGGGGTTGCACAAGAAAAACTGAGTGATTGAGAAAATGAGAGTGGAGAGAGGGACGTGGTGCAGGCACAGTGCAGCATGGCTCTCATTTCCAAACCACCGTGCCCCTCACATGCACCGTGCCCCTCACATGCACATGCCCCTCACATGCACCGTGGCCCTCACATGCACCGTGCCCCTCACATGCACATGCCCCTCACATGCACCGTGCCCCTCACATGCACATGCCCCTCACATGCAGCAGCAGGCGGGAGGTGGCACTGCAGATCTGGCCGTTGGTCCAGAAGCACCCGAACATGGCCCACTCCACCGCTGGTGCAAGGAGCGGAGGCGGCAGGCAGGGGGGCAACGGGGAGGGGCGAGGGAAGGGGGTTAGAGGCGGAGCGTGGTGTGGATTGGCAGACGGTTATAGAAGGAATTGAAAAAAAGCAGAGGAGCGGGAATTAGGAGGAGGTGGGGTGGCGTGGGGGAGGGAAGAAGAACGGGATTAGGGGAGGGAGGATAAAAAGAACGAGGACGAGGTGAGGAAAAAACTCAAAGCCGGAACACGGAAAAGAATAGAGGGAAGGATGAGCAGAAGCAGCAGAGAGAAATCTCCTCCCCACTCCCATCTCCCACGAGAACCCCTGCCTCGCCCACCACCCTTCAGCATAACCACCAGGTTCAAAACACCTCGCACATTGCCACCCTGCATGCATGCAAGCGTGCCCCTGTGCAGGGTGCAACAGGAGCAGGGCCAGTGCATGTGAAGAGGAGCATGAGGGTGTGGGAGCGAGCGCACCTTTGTCGATGTCCACATCGTCAAACACCAGCAGCGCACTCTTGCCGCCCAGCTCCATGGTCACCGGCTGCTCTCATGCACCGCCGCACAGCAGTGGCGTGGCACCATGGCACGGGCGCAAGAGAGCACGGGCGCAAGAGGCAGAGCATGAGGAGTGGTGGCAGGACGATGCGCAGTGGGAAAAGAAGGCAAGGAGATGGTAAACATAAAAGTGTCTGATAAGAAATGCAGGCATAGAGTGGGGAAAAGGAAATAGAAACGGAGAACAGGAGGTGAAGCTTCCTCCTAAGACAACCAGGAGTTGTAAGGCGAGCCACAGCAGGGAGGGGATGAGCATGGGGAGGGGTGGGTGGCATGCAGTGGCACAAGTGGCACACATACAATGAGGTTCTCAGCCGCTGCATGCAGCACGAGCTTCCCCGTTGCACTGCTGCCCGTGAACGCTATCTGCAGCCACCACACCACACACACCCGCACCATCCACAGATCCCCCCATGCATGAAAACATTGACATGTATGCACCGTGCCATCCACCACCACACCCTCCATACATGCATGTATGGAATTGGACCAATCAAGAACGCAACTGAAGAGTGGTATCGAACAGCAGTCGAGCAGCAGTTGAGCGTGGATGAATGGCAGCATGGGTGCGTCAATGCCCATCATAAGTGGGTGCACGCGGGTTCCAATGCTAGTGGGCGCAACATGCGAGGGAGAAAGGGCTGGATGCATGAAGATGCGATGCACCAAGACGCAGAACTATTGGGCTTTAAAGGGCTGCCAGAGCATCAGCCAGGCCACTCAAGTGCAGCACGCTGCGTGCGCGCAGCTTGTTTGATTGTCAACCTGCAACGTGCAGTCGCATTGTGCAACGGGGTACAGCCACCAGTCTGCCATCGTTACCGCTATTCCCCTCCCACCACAACCCCACTCCAACAGCCCCCGTCCTTTCTCCACGCATGTCAAACACCCTTCCTCCCCCCTCGTCCTCCCGAACCCGTCTCCTTCAGCAAGCCCTGCCTTGCAGCCCGTGTGGCACAAAAGAACCACGCACCTTATCGAGCCCCTTGTGTGCGGTGAGAGCAGCGCCTGCATCCGCACCCAGGCCCGTGACCACGTTCAGCACCCCCGCTGGCAGCTGCACTGCATCCGCTATCGCCCCCAGCTCCAGACACGTGCTGGGGGGGGAGGGGGAAGGGGAAAGTGGGGTGAGGGGGAAGGAGGGAAGATGGCGGAGAGGGGTCAAGTGTGGTGGAGAAGGAGGGAAGTGAAGGCAGACAGGATGGGGAAGGCCGTGCCGTGGCGGGCACAGGTGTAGACATTGAAAGGTGACACCGACGTTAAGAAAAGTAGTGCTCAGTGATGGCTGGAAAAGCAAAAGAGTGGAGCAAGTGTATGCTGATTGAGACGAAAATGTGAAGGGACATTATACGGCAAGCATGAAGCCATGTGGGCGAAGCGAAAGGGTGAAGCCAGAGGGTACAGAGAAGGGGTGCATTGACAAGGGAAAGCAGGTGAAGCGGGAAGTGGGGGAGGGAGGGAGGGGAGGGAGGGGAGGGAGGGAGGAGGGAGGGAGGGGAGGGGAGGGAGGGGAGGGAGGGAGGGAGGGAGGGAGGGAGGGAGGGAGGGGAGGGAGGGAGGGAGGGGAGGGAGGGAGGGAGGGAGGGAGGGGAGGGAGGGGAGGGAGGGGAGGGAGGGAGGGGAGGAGGGAGGGAGGGAGGGAGGGAGGGGAGGAGGGAGGGAGGGAGGGAGGGAGGGAGGGAGGGAGGGAGGGGAGGGGAGGGAGGGAGGGGGAGGGGAGGGGAGGGGAGGGGAGGGAGGGAGGGAGGGAGGGAGGGAGGGAGGGAGGGGAGGGAGGGAGGGAGGGAGGGAGGGAGGGAGGGAGGGAGGGAGGGA